CTCACAGCAACCTCCAACTCCTGGGCTCAAGCGAGTCTCCTGCCTCAGCCTCCCAAGTAGCTGGGACCACAGGTGCCCGCCACAACGCCCAGCTATTTTTTGGTTGTCGTCGTCATTGTTGTTTTGGTGGGCCCAGGCTGGATTTGAACCCACCACCTTAGGTGTATGTGGCTGGCGCCTTAGCCACTTGAGTCACAGGCGCTGAGCCAATTTGCACGCGACCTTGAATGTGCCAGCACCCCTGACTCCCTCCCACAGGCTCTGGATCTCTCAGCCCCCTGACCTCCCTTTAAGACTTCTCTTTCGGCTCGGCGCCTATAGCTCAACCTGCTTAAAACTCCCCAGGGGCCATAGTCTACACTTAAAATCCAGGCTCTTATGTAGAGCATGCCCTCCCCTGCATCCGCACTGGGTCTCTGCCCCTAAAAGTGCAGTACTCCAAGCACACTCCTACTCCTGCCCAGGGCCTTTACCCTGAGACCTGCCTGGACACTAACCCCAGCCGCTGGCGTTTGGCTCCCCCTCCTCAGATCTCAGTTCTCACTTCAGAAGCCCTGTAAGAGCTGTGGGGTCCATCACGTTACCCCATCCTGTCTCCTGTCACCCTCTGAGCACTCAGTACTATCTGACATCTTTATTATTATTATTATTTGAGACAGAGTCTCACTCTGTTGGCCTTGGCATCATAGTTCACAGCAACCTCAAACTCCTGGGTTTGAGCAATCCTCTTGTCTCCCAATAGCTGGGACTGCATGCGCCCACCATGTTTTTCTATGGTTGGTAGAGACAAGATTTCTTTTTTTTTTTTTTAGAGTCTTATTTGGTCGCCCTCAGTAGAGTGCCATGGAGTCACACAGCTCACATCAACCTCTAACTCCTGGGCTTAGGCAATTCTCTTGCCTCAGCCTCCCAAGTAGCTGGGACTACAGGTGTCCACCACAACCGCCCAGCTATTTTTTTGTTGTTGTTGCAGTTTGGCCAGGGCCGGGTTTGAACCTGCCACCCTCGGTATATGGGGCCAGCGCCCTACCCAGTGAGCCATAGGCGCTGCCCTAGAGACAGGGTTTCACTCTTGCCCAGGATAGTCTCAAACTCCTGAGCTCAAGTAATCCACCCGCCTCAGCCTCCCAGAACTAGGATCACAGGGGTGAGCCACCACAATGGGCCTGAGATTATCTTCTATTGTCTCTCCACTTCAGTGTCAGTGCAGGCACTGCAGTGAAGGGATTTGTGTCTATTTTTTCCTAAATTCTCATTACCGAGCCTCCCTTAGTATCCGTGGGGTAATTGGTTCTAAGACCTCCAGGGATACCAAAACCCAAAGATGCTTGAGTCCCTGATACAAAGTATTTGCATATAACCTGCAAACATTCACCTGTATACTTTTCAGAGATTCTCAACCTGTGGGTGCGACCCACAGGGACTGTATTAAAGGGCTGAGGCATGGGGCGGCACCTGTGGCTCAATGAGGTAGGGCGCTGGCCCCATATGCCGTAGATGGTGGGTTCAAACCCGGCCCCAGCCAAAAACTACAAAACAAAGGGCTGAGGCATTAGGAAGGTTGAGAACCACTGCTTTAAATCATCTTTAGGTTACTTATAATACCCAGTGTGATGTAAACAGTTGTTATACTATATTGTTTAGGAAATAATGACCAAAAAAGTCTGTACGTGTTCAGTATACTTTTTATTTTTTGGAGACAGAGTCTCACTTTGTCACCCTTGGAGAGTGCTGTGGCATCACAGCTCACAGCAACCTCAAACTCTTGGGTTCAAGAGAGATCCTCTTGCTTCAGCCTCCCAAGTGGCTGGGACTACAGGTGCCTGCCACAAAGCCCAGCTATTTTTAGAGATGGGGTCTCTGGTCTCCAACCCCTGAGCTCAGGCAATCCACCTGCCTCAGCCTTCCAGAGTGCTACGATTACACTGTTGGCCTAGTACAGATACAAATTTTAAAAAATATTTTCAGCATGAGGTTGGTAAAATCCACAGAGGCAGACTGTACTAGCAAGTGCTAGGGACACACAGCATTTGTTGACTAGTGACTGTATACATTTATTTATTTATACATAAACAAGCCCATTCCCACAAAAATACTCAAGCAGAACACTAGATAAATAGAGTTACACAGATAAGGTAAAAAATGCCTCTACACATGCACACAAAACAGACTCAACAGTCACAGATACCCAAGAGTCCCTTTCTCGTCCCCATAGGAGTCAGTCCTATCTTTTCCCCACTTGGATCTGCCCTCTACTTGAACCCAGTATCTGGAGGAGTGGGGGTCTCTATCCTGGACAAGGAGGGGGTCGCTGGTCCATAGGCCTCAGACAGCAGCCTTCAGCTATGTCTGCAATTTCCTCTCCCCCTTCCTTTTCTCCTCCTCTCTAAGACTCCCGCCAAGAAAGCCTCCCCCTCACTCCAGTTCCAGGGTTGGGAAGGGGGGCCAAGGAGGGATGTGAGGTGGCAGGAGGACAGGACTGGGCAGAATGAAGACCCAGCTGCACACACTGATCACACAACACATTGCATGCCCAAGTGGAAATGCATGTGTGTGCAGGACCACGTTTAGCCAGGGGGGAACTGCTGTAAGCTGCTGGGTGCAAAGGAGCACAGCAGCTTGCATGCACAGGCAGAGGCCGGGTGCTGGGGTCTGCAAAGCTGGCTGGGCCTGGATCAAGGCCCGAGTCCAGCAATCATTAACCCTGGTGACCAGACCAGAGATCCGCCAGCTGGACACACTCAGGCCTGGGGCCTGGGAGGAGGGGCTGACAAGTCCTCTATTTACCCAGCACTGGGTCCTGGCAACCCCTGCTAGGTCTTAGGAAAAAGCTTCAGTCTTCCCCATGAGGGAGCCTGGGGCCTCCAGAGAGGGGGTGCAAAGTATAGGGAAGTGGTTTAGAGCCCAGGCTCTAGGGTCACAGTAGAGGGTTTAAATCATGACCGTTTGGTAAAGTTACTCAGTCTCTCCGTGACACTCAAGTGTACTTTGTCTGCTAAGTGGGGATAATGGTACCCACGTTATAGTTGTTAGGAATAAATGAAAGAACAGGAAAGGGTTTGTTTAGCCCACTGCCCGACACCCAGGCAGGACGCCATCATCATTATTATTATTGTTGTTGTTAGGAGGCTGGGGGCGGGTCCCTGCAATCGGCCTCCCCAGCGGTTTCCTGTGGGGGAGCAGAAGGCCCGCAGGACTCGCTCCCCCTCCCCCGGTCGCTCGCTCCTCTCCCCTTCCTCTCCCGGCCCTTTTCCTCCCCGCCTCCCCGCGCCCCGCCCCGTCCCTCCTCTTTCCTCGGAGGAAACTTTCCGCCGGCTGGTCCAGCGGCCCGTGTCCGGCCCGCGCTGCCGCGGCCTGGGAGCCAAGCTGGACGGGAGGGAAGGCCGGGCCCGGCTGTATGCGGCCGCCGGACGGTCGCCGGACGCGCCGGACCCGGGCAGCCGAAAAACGAGGCGCTGACGGTGAGTGCCTCCGGGCTGGTGGGTCCCCGCGGGCCAAGCAGGATGGGAGAGGGAGGTGGCTCCCCTGCCCTGGAGCCTGCCTGGGGAGTGGCGGAGGCCCCGCGTCTCTACCCTTATCTCACCACCTGACAGCAGAACCAGGCGTCCTTTGGGGGACCCCACAGGGGGGCGGAGCCTCCTGAGGCCCACTGCGCCGCTCCGCGGGGTCGAGGGGTGCTAGCACCTAGGGGAAGGATTCCTCGGATAGGACTCAGGTTTGCAACCAAGGAAGAGAATGATTCTCTCCAGGTGGAACCCAGGGCCGCTCCTCCAGCGAGAGCAGCAGCCCCGAAGAGGAAGCCGGTCAGGGCCAACTCTGGGCTGGGAAAAGGATCTGACCTTGTGGACCTCACAGGCTGACAGGGGAGCTGCCCCTCAGAGCAGTATGGATGCCCCCCGAAGGGACATGGAGTTGCTCAGCAACAGCCTGGCGGCCTACGCACACATCCGCGGTAAGGGGTGGCGAGGGCGGGCAGCCCGGAAGGGCCTGGGGAACAAGGACCCCTCCCCGCCCCTCTAGCCCCATACCTCTCCTTCCCTCCACACCTCCGCGCCCTGGCCATTATAACCACCTCCTAGCCTATGGGTTGTTTTCCCACTTCCTCCTCGCTTGCTGCCCATTGCCTGTTGGTGGTTCCCTAATGCCCTCAAGTAGGGTTGCCCCCGAACCTAGACATCTTGTCGAGATGGAATGGCTCCCACCCTTAGGGCCTCGTATGACCCCTGCCCTCTGCCCCCAGCTAACCCTGAGAGCCTTGGCCTGTACTTCGTGCTGGGCGTCTGCTTTGGCCTGCTGCTGACCCTGTGCCTACTGGTCATCAGCATCTCGTGCGCGCCCCACCCGCGGCCCCGGGGCCCCGCTCTGCGCCAGGGTCCCCGCAGCAGCACCCTGGAGCCCGAGGACGACGAGGAGGATGAAGAGGACACGGTGACGAGGCTGGGCCCCGACGACACGCTGCCTGGCCCTGAGCTGTCACCGGAGCCGGATGGGCCTCTCAACGTCAACGTCTTCACGTCTGCCGAGGAGCTGGAGCGGGCACAGAGGCTGGAGGAGCGAGAGCGGATTCTGCGGGAGATCTGGCGTACCGGGCAGCCGGACCTGCTAGGTACCGGCACGCTGGGGCCCAGCCCCACGGCCACTGGTACTCTGGGCCGCATGCACTATTACTGACCAAGCCTGGCTCCGCTTCCGCTGCACGGCGCTCTGAGCACTGGACATACAGATGAGCCCAGAGCTGTCCCAGGACCTTGGGACTGCCCATGCCCCCATGGCTTCCCTGGTGCAAGCGGGCATGGACTGCCATCCTCAGAGGGGAGCAGGATTGGGGGTCCCCGCGGGCCAAGCAGGATGGGAGAGGGAGGTGTCTCCCCTGCCCTGGAGCCTGCCTGGGGATGATGAAGAGGTGAAGTGACCAATGAAAGCTGCGTTGTCTGTGGCTCAGTCTCTCTGTCTGTTACTCCTGCCCCCAATAGTCCCCAATCTCCTGCTGAGGGGGCTCAAGGCTGAGGCCCCACTTTGCGCCTTTACCAGCCTGCACTACCTTCATCCACACACCCGACGACTCAGCTCACCTGCACCTCACAAATGGCAGAAAGAAGCGCACACTCCCACTCTACCGTCTCCCCAGCCCCACACATTCCTTACCCACTCATGCATTCCACACCTACAAATGCCTGGGCACAGGTCCCCCTGTCCCCACAATACCCAGGGTACAGGCATACACTGCAACCACACAACACACCGGACCCGGAGACGCTAACCTTGGGGCTGGGGTGCTATGAGCCCCAGTGTAACCGTGCCTGCTTGGGCCGGGTGGTGGGGGTTCACGTCTGAGACGAGGTGAGTTCAGGCGACTCGACAGTGAGGCCAGCTGGGACGTGGGGCCCTCTCAGACCCTCCCCTGGCGCACAGCTGGATTCCGGAATCTGGCGGTTGGGCAGAGCCCGACCCCTGCCTCAGCCCCTCCTGCCGGGCATTTCTCCAGTGCGAGGCTGGCTGGCGTCTGGCGTCCGTAGGAGACACCCCCACCCCCCTTCACCATCCGGTGGCTAAAAATAGCCGTGCTCGGAGGCCCTGGGAACCGTAATGGGAGCCACATGTTGGCCAGATGTGCCCGAGAGAGACCGCCAGGAATGCGGACCGCCAGCCGACCCCGCCCCCACGGAAGAGAATGGCTTGGCACGCGTGCGGGACAGACTTTACTTTCTTGCGTTTCCCAAAGTCGAGTGCAAGGACTTGGGTGGCCCAAACCAGACGTCCATCCAGGCCGGGCAGTGGTCCCTCCTAGGCCTGCCCTCAGTACGTCTGCGTCTGCGCGTGGCTGGTGCCCGGGGCCGGGGTCAGGGCCTCCTGGGTCCACTGCATCACCTGAGCCTGGGAGAGTGCGGGTGTCAGGGGAGGGCCAGCGCCAGTGTCCCCCATTCCGATCCACACCTCACCCACCTCCAACAACTGGCGCTTCTTCCTCTCTCTCTTCAGCTCCTCCCAGATGTCGGTCAGCTTCCTCCTGAGAACACCAACAGAGGTGAGGGGATGGGCGGACCCTTTCCTCCCCACGCCCCTTCCCTGCCCCTGCACTTACTCCAGCTGCACCCCCATCAGTTCCAGCGCCCTCCTTAGGGACTCCACCTCGCCCTTTAGCGTCATTATATCCACTCCGTCATTCTTGCTTTCCGTGGAATTTTGCAAGTTCAGGGAAGGGGCGGGAATCTCTTGGTCTGAAGTCTGCTTAAACAGATGTGTGTTTTGGGGAGCAGAGGCTATCTCTTTCAGGGGCATCTCTTTGGGAGGTGCCTCTTTAGGGGGCACCTCCTCTTTGAGAGCAGCCTCTTCTTTCCAAGGGGCCCCCTCTGGGAAGGTTGTAGCCTCCCCTGGGGCGCAAGGTGTCTCAGGGACAGGCACGGACCCTGGCTTGGAGGTGGGCTCAGGCTGAAGTGGGGAGCTGTCCTGTATAACTAGGGGGGCATTCAGCAGACAGTGGCATCTCTCTGAGGAACTGGACTGGAGTGGAGGCTCCTCTGACATGTGGACCTTTTGGGATTGAGATTCTTGGATGACCAGGGGCTCAACCTTCTGCGGGATTTCTTCTGCAGAGGAGTGATGGAATTGAGTAGATGACTCTTCTTCAGAAACCACCTGTTCAGGAGTCAAGACCTTTTCTAGGGAGAGAGCCTCCTCCCCCAGAGGGGCCATCGTCGGGTCCTTAGGTGGGACTTCTGGAGTAGGACTCCTGTCCAGAGGTAGGGTCTTCTCTGGGCTGAGGACTTTGTCAGGAGCCAGGATCTTCTCTGGGGTGCGGTTTCCTGGGGTGGGGGCCTTGTCTTCCAGAGCCAGGGATTTCTCTGGGCTGGCAATTTTGTCAGGAGCTGGGATCTTCTTTGGGCTGGGGGCCTCCTCTGTAGATAGAGTCTCCTCTGGGATAGCAGCCTTGTCCAGAGTAGGGGTTCTACTCACAGAAGAGGCCTTTGCTTGGCTGCTCTGCTCTTCGTCCTGCAGTGATGGGATGAAGTCTCAGCAGTGGGCTGGATGCCCTAGAGGTTTGAGTCTGGTACCCCTTGGCCTGGGGTGCGTCACTCACTGTTGCACACCACATGTCTGGGCACTGGCCTCTGCCCAGTATCCCCACTCTCCTCCCATATCTCTTGCCTCTCACCTGACTGGATGCAGAGCGTTGCCGGGGAGCCTGGGTTTTGGGTCTTTTTTTCCCACTGGGGAAGCTGCCACTGGAGCCTGTAAGAGCAGAACCTCAGGGGCCCAAGCCTGCTCTGACCCTTAGTCTCTTCCCATCCCTGTCCCTCAGCACAACCACCCTGTCTTCTAACCCTTCCCCCATTGGAGGAAGGCAGCCCTTACCTGAGTCTCGGGAGGGGAGCTTCTGACTGTCCCTACTGGGTGTCGAAGATGTCCTAGAACATATCCCCATCAGGGCCTGGGGTTGGGGGCAGGGAGAGAGGCGTGTCTTTTGTACCCTCCTCCTTCCCCTAATCCCACCCTGCTCCTTACTTGACTTTGCTGAGTCCAATGGGGGCAGTCACCGGCTTCTTAACTGTAGGGAGGAATGTTTTAGGCATCGACTTTTTCGGTTCCTTAAAAGGAGCTGGAAGGAGAGAAAGGAAAGTATTCGTTCATCCACTTATCCATCCATCCATCCATCAGCTGCTGGCTTGAGTTGTGCTGTATACAGGGGACTGTGGATGGGAGATAAATCATTTGACTCTGCTTCTTGGGAGCTTCTAAGAAGCCGACCACTGTCCTGCCACACAGGTGGGGAGAACTGGGGGAGCACCCCAAAGGGACACCTAGCAGACAGCTGTCAGAGAAGGCCTTTTGTGAGAGACAGGTCCATATCCTGCTAGGTTTTTTATCCATACTTTTTTTTGTTTTGTTTTGTTTTTTTGAGACAGAGCCTCAAGCTGTCCCCCTGGGTAGAGTACTGTGGCATCACAGCTCACAACAACCTCCAACTCCTGGGCTCAAGCAAGTCTCCTGCCTCTGCCTCCCAAGTAGCTGGGACCACAGGCACCCGCCACAACACCTGGCTATTTTTTGGTTGCAGCCATCATTGTTTGGCGGGCCCGGGCTGGATTCAAACCCGCCACCTTAGGTGTATGTGGCTGGCGCCTTAGCCGCTTGAGCCATAGGCGCCAAGCCTATCCATACTTTTCTAAGACCTGTGCCCTGCTTAGTGCCCATGGCTGCTTCCCTGATTCAGACTTCATCTCTTTCCCAGACCATAGAAACAACATTCCCCCAATTCCCCTCAAACTTTTGTCTTCTCCATCTCATTCAGTCTCTACGAGATCTGGCCCAGTCTTAGAGGCTTAATTATAATCAATAAAGCCTATGACTTCCGAATTTTCATCTCTGGCACACGCTTCCTCCCTGAATCCCAGACTCATACCTGGCTGCCCTCTCAATATTTCCACTTGAGGAGTTAACTGGTATCACATAGGTAACATATTCAAAGTAAGTCTCTTGCATCCCATCCCCCATACTCCCTTAATCTGCCCCTTTCTGTGTTTTTCCACCTTACCCCCTTGCTCAGAAGACAAAATGAGGAGACATCCTTGACTCCTTTTATTTCCTTATGCTGCACATCCAAACCACCAGCACATCCTGTCCACTTAACCACCTGAGTTTTCCTGAATCCAATCACTGGTCACCACCTCTACCAGCAAGCGCTCTAGATCAGGTCACCACCACCTTCACCTATTAAAACAGCCCCCAACCCAGGCCTGGGCTGCACCCACCCTGCCTATCGCGCATCCTTCCCACGGCAGCCACAGTAAGCTCACATTCTGTTGGGGAAGTAGACGTCAAGTAAAACTTCTGTAGTGTGTTAGAGTCATTAAGTGTTATCGACAAGAAGCAGCAAGACAGTGCGCAGTTTTAAATGGGTTAGTCAGAAAATCCACACTGAGGTGACCCTGGAGTGAATACCTAAAGACAGTCACACACGGTGGCGTTCATATCATTAAGAGACACAAACAGCCAGTCTGGCATATGTACAGAGTCTGACATTGACTCTAACATACATCACACACAGATATATACACAAACCTGACCATGGGTAGGGACACAAATTCTACCAAGAACACCAGGCTTTGAATTCAGCTCCATTCCTTGCTACACTAGTTGTGTGATGATTTGGGCAAGCAATAGGTGCCCCAATATTCTCATCCATAAAATAGGAATTAACAATAGTATATACCTTGCAGGGCTGTGGTGAGGTTTGAGTGACTTTAAAACATGTAAGTTACTCAGAAGACTGTTTGGCAGGCTGGAAGCCCTGGTGGCTGGCACCTGTAATCCTAGCACTCTGGGAGGCCAAGGTGGGTGGATTACTTGAGCTCAGGAGTTTGAGACCAGCCTGAGCAAGAACAAGACTCCCATCTCTACTGAAGATAGGAAAACTGAGACAAGAGGATCTCTTGAGAGTGAGACTATCTCAACAACAATAATAAAAAAAGGCCAGGCACAATGGCTCATGCCTGTAATCCTAGCACTTTGGGAGGCTAAGGCTGGTGGATTGCTTGAGCTTACGAGTTCGAGACCAGCCTGAGCAAAATCGATACCTGATCTCTACTAAAAATAGAAAAACTGAGGCAAGGGGATCAAATGAGCCCAAGGGTTGGAGGTTGCTGTCAGTTATGATGCCACAGCACTCAACCCAGGGCAACAGCTTGAGACCGTCTCAAAAACAAACAAACAAACAAAAACCCCAGAAGATTCTTTGGCAGATAGTCAATCTCAGTAAGCGTTAACTTTGACTTTTGCTTCTTATAGTGTGGCTGATGAAGTGCTTTTAAAGCCCCCTACCCTCTCCCCCCCCCCCCAGAACAATTATATCCTTCTTAGAACATAATTTTGAGGGCTTGGCGCTTGTAGCATAGCGGTTATG